TATGCGCACAACTGAGTAGGATAAACTATTTATTCGATAAGAAAAAATGCTTATAAACTACGATGGAAACACATTTACTGAATAAATTCCACCATGCGCATTGAAAAAGTCATGTGACTTTGCGCTATGAGACGGGATAAATTGACTAACCAGCGGACCAATCTCGTTCACAGCATCTATATGTTGTTTTGGTCGTTCTGAAATGCCTGAGGAAAGTCTGCCATCAAAGTATTTCTGTATAATTACTTTCTTACATGACTGCGTTCCCAAACAGCAGGCATCCACCTCTAAAAGCAATGACCACATTTATTGTGTTACGTCTGCTATCTCTGAAGTGCAAGTAATTTATTACATATGAAAATTATTATTTTTAGTGGCTTCTCCTAGTTTTCTTAGAGATATTTAGTGCCAGTTTATCAGGAAGTGACGATTTTGTTCTCTTTGACTCGTTGGATGGAAACGGTGCTTTATTCGCAAATGTTTTATGCGATATTCCAGTTTTGCGCATAAGTTACATTTGCATCTTTGGATGGAAACATAGCTATTGTCTCATTTCACACAGCAGTGGATGTCTGCTTCAGAGTGAATCACAACAAACTAAAATAGACCTACTTGCAGGACGTTTTCCTCATCTGGCGTTCATATTGATTTCTCAGTTTTAGTACAGTATGATGTAGGATGTTGGTATTTGCAGATTTTCATATGATGTGTTGGTTTAGAGCCTGTAAAAATCTTGTGAGAAGATATGGCCGTCAGAGATGGCTGCCGGGATCAGTGTTGCCGTGACGATGACAAATCAGCCAATGAGCGGACATCCCATATGAAAGGATGCTATTTTTGGCAGCGTTGATATTACTCAGTAGAGTAAGACAAACTGGGCTGGTGAGCCTGTTCCCATGAAATGGGTGTTCAGCAAGCATTTTCCATGGAAGCATGGATTTAGATAATACCCAGTTAATGAGTTTGTTGAACATTTCTGGTATGATATATACTGCCATGTACTGTTTGTTCCTCAAATATTGACTGCCTTGCTACTGAGGCGGTCGGGACAAATGTGGTCAGTGTGAACATCCTGGCCAGCACCAGGTAAGTTCGTCAGAGTTCCAGCACAGGGAGGATCACGTTTCCCCTCCCGTGCTTTGGCATGACAGAAAACAACATAGTGTCAGATTACTGGCCAGTCCGCTTTAGTACTCTAGCACCTCTACCAAAAAAACTGATTGTATGGAAACATAGATCTCCGTTTCCTGGAACGATTTGACTTGAGGTGCGGTCACATTTAATGATCCTGGCTGGAATTTCGAAATGCAGTAATTTCAGTTTTGTGTGAGGGCAGAAAAGTTCCCTACATATATTTCATTAGTGTTTAAGTTGGTCACCTAAATTAGCCACATTGACCAACAGAAAGGTCTGAAAGTCAAATATGTGTGAGCTACTATTGAAAATGGACCTTTTTTGTCCTGCAAAATTTCGGCTAATTTGACCGCACCTTATGAGAGCAACATTTCAATCCATTTGACAGCTTACTTGAAATGTGTGACTAGTCGCTGTCATCTAGACTATGACCTGTGCTAACATTTCATCTCCTCTCTGTTTTTCAGAACTCAAAGAGTGCCCAGGGCCTGGTGGGTCTTCGTAATCTGGGAAATACAGTAAGTGTTTTTTTAATTGGATGTACTAGCTGCTCTCATAGGTGAAGTGTGTACTTGTATACTGTAGGACTTTTTTTTTGTTGTAAATTTTTGGCTCAAACCTTCGGGCTGGACTACAGTGCCTTGCGAAAGTATTCATATTTTTTTCATGTTTTGTTATGTTGCTGCCTTATGTTAAACTGCTTTAAATTACTTTTTTTCCACATCAATCTACACTCCATACACCATAATGGTAAAGCAAAAAACTGGTTTTTAACATCTTTGCAAATTTATTAAAAATAAAAAACTTTGATTCCATAAGTATTCATACCTGGAACAGTTGAAATTTAGCTCAGGAGCATTCATATTGCTTATAGATGTTACTACACTTCGAGTGAAGTTAACCTGTGGCAAATTCAATTGAATGGGTATGATTTGGAAAGGCACACATGTCTTAATAATAGGTCTAACAGCTAATAATGCATATCAGAGCAAAAACCAAGCCCTGAAGTCAAAATAACTGCCAGTAGAGCTCAGAAACAGGTTTTCGTCAAGTCACACATCTGGAGAAGAGTTCAGAAAAGCAAGTAATTGAAAACAGTTTAACATAAGGCAGCAACATAACAAAACGTGGAAAAAAATGAAGGGGTATGAATACTTTTGCAAGGCACTGTACCTGTTTCTCCAACAGTGGGAGATGTGGTAGTTCTGCTTATGATGCAGAAATGACACTTCACCTCTAGAATGTGATATCTATAATTCCCATGTTCACACATACCAGGCGAATCAATTAAAAATCATACAACATATCTAGGGTTGGGCCGATAAACGATGCGATCGTCCATTCACGATGTTTCACTGTAGACATCGTCCGATGCCAATTTGGTAGACATCGCCCAACCCTAAACATATCTTCAGTGAAGTGTGTAAAGTCTTCGCTGTTGACCGATGTCCTCATTCACACATATTTTTTGTCATATAGTATATATTTATACTATGTGCATACAGCACATCCAACATGCTAGAAATAGATCAAAACTGTCAAATCTCACAGTATCTGGTTGACACAACTAAGCAGCAAGAAGCAGAAATGTTTTTATATCGCTTTCACATTCCTCTGTTTATTTCCATTTGGCAGGATTATTTTTCATGATGTCTCTTCACTCTCGCACTCACTTAACTTGCTTTTGCCAAGCAACAGTATGTGTATAGTCCAAAAATAAACTCTTACACATCGCAGTCAAGTCTGCTGCTGTGAAACTCTAGACTAATGCGTCACTTGTTTTGTGGCTACCTTTGCTTTTCTAATTTCTGCTTAGTAAGCATATACACAGTGTCATTTTTGTAGATAAATATTTATATAAATTTTAAATACATAATTTAATTACATATATAAATATTAAATACATTTGGTCAAAAAATAAAATTGTATTTAATCATATAAAATCATGTTTTATCCTGCTCTATTCTGTTTTGTCTATTTAGTGTTTAATTTGGGGGCTTATAAAATGAAGATTTATATTTTATTAAATAATCAGTATGTCATGTAATTTATTCATTTATTTTTTTTATTTAAATGAATGAAATTAATTTTTTTAATTTAATCAATTACCAGCCCAATATAAATCTAAATGTTTCTCCTTCTTTGTGTCTCTTTCCCTCGCTAGTGTTTTATGAACTCCATCCTCCAGTGTCTTAGCAACACACAGAGCCTGCGAGACTACTGTCTTCACAACTCCCACCGCCGAGACCTCAACAACAACAACCACACAAACACTGCTCTCATGGAAGGTGAGTGCGCTCGCACCACACAACTCTTGCAGGTTTCACAGCGGTCACTGCTTCTCTCTGATAAACCACAAACCTTACTGAAAGCCTCTCTTTGTCATGACTTCAGAGTTTGCCAAGCTTATCCAGACAATGTGGACTTCTTCAAGCAGTGAAGCTGTCAGCCCCTCTGAGTTCAAAACACAGATTCAGAGATTCGCCCCCAGATTTGTGGGCTACAAGTAAGTCTCAGCCTACACGCAGTTTTATTCTGTTCAAAGTGACCATCTTAGTATCATAACAGCAGGTTTTGCACAGACAAGCACTACTCGCATTGAATATTTTAAGTTCAGAAAATATTAAATAGTATGTCGTTTTAATTGAATATTTGTGACCTGTGCTGGCAAAATGAGTCACAATGAGCAAATTTTCAAACATGAGTTATTTTTATGTTCCGACTCATTTTGCCAGCACGGGTCACATTTATCAGGTTATCGACCAATACATGAATATAATTGCCTGATTATCAGTAGCTGGCTGTGGTTGTGTTATGTATTGAGATGTTTATGTTATCTCTCAAGTCAACAGGATGCTCAGGAGTTTCTACGTTTCCTGCTAGACGGCCTGCACAACGAAGTGAACAGGGTCACAGTCCGGCCTCGGGGAAACATGGAAGACTTTGATCACTTGCCGTAAGTGTACTGTCCTTATTTTCCTCAGTGTGGGTAGTCCTTAAATGACATGTTGTGAGTGTGATTTCATGATTTATATGTCTTGTTAATTTTCTTTAGTGATGAGGAAAAAGGGAAAAAGATGTGGGCTAAGTACTTAGAGAGAGAAGACAGCAAAATCGTAGGTAAGTATACACTACACCAGTGTTATTTTAGTATTATTTGTATATCAAAGATGCTTTTATATTTTGAATTTGTTTTATTTTAATTTAAGTAATTTTGTTGTTGTTATTATTATTAGTATTTAAATATATATATATATATATATACGTTTTAGTAAGTTTAGTATTTGAACATAAACCAAGGAAACATTTCTAATATTCATATAAGTTTTTTAAGTTTTCCGTGCAATATTTATATTTTATTTCAGCATTATTTCGAATGACAAAAATTATTTTGAATAGTTTCATCTAACAATATACACTGCAATATACACAGATCCGAGAGCTTTGGGTTACCATTGTGCTCCATTACTAAACATAATTCTGCCGTGCCTCTGTCTGTCCTCAGATCTGTTTGTAGGCCAGCTGAAGAGCTCTTTGACCTGCAGTGAATGTGGCTATTGTTCCACTGTGTTCGATCCCTTCTGGGATCTTTCCTTACCTATCGCCAAGGTCAGTTCATTGACATGTGCATGTACATGCAGGCTTTATAATGCACACTTAGGACATTTGGAGAAATTAGTGGGTGTTAATGGTATTCCTCTGCCTAGAAGGGCTATGGAGAGGTGAGCCTAATGGACTGCATGCGACTGTTTACTAAAGAAGATGTGCTGGATGGGGACGAGAAGCCGGTAATTCATTTAATTCATTCCTGCCATTTTAATAATGTGGAAATTTATATGTACCGAAACATCTAATTGTTTTTCTCTGTTTTCTTTCATCCAGACATGTTACAGGTGCAAAGCCAGAAGACGATGTACAAAGAAATTTACAGTTCAGAAGTTTCCTAAAATACTAGTTCTTCGTATCCTTTTCTAATGCCGTCTGATCTCTTGATGTCACTTGGGGCATCTGTGCGTTTGTTGACAGTAAGCACAGATAAGATCGGGACGCTGTTTATGTGTGCAGGAATGTGCTGATGGCTTAGGTTGAAGCCTGAAGAGACAGGTCTCTCTGAGTTGAGCTGTGTGCCAAGTCTCTTCTCCTTAACTGCTTGACTTGTTCAGATCTGAAGCGCTTCTCGGAAGCCCGCATCAGAACCAGCAAACTGTCCACTTTTGTCAACTTCCCAATGAAAGACCTGGACCTCAGGGAGTTCGCCTCTGACAGAAGCAGTGAGTAAAGACAGACCAAGAATCTGCCATTTCAGTCCTAGAGTGAATGTGCAGCTGTACTCGGCATGAAACGTTATAGCTCTTATTGTGAAAGATTCATCCATGCATATGTTTTGTTTAAACAATGTTTGACCTTAGAATTTTTCATTAAAATACCATAACTGGATCTTCTGGTGAAATGTCTCTCTGGTGTATGCCAGACTTAGTCCACTTAAACGCCTCCCCTTTCTTACAATCAAATCTGCCTCCATCCGATCAACAAGTATGTCACATTACAGAAAAAAAAAAAAGATCTGTCACTGCTTAAGGTTCATAGTGATTTTAGCATAGAAAATTACTTCACAGTCTAGAACAGGGGTCGCCAGTTGGCGGCCTCCGGTCCGAATCTGGACCGCGAGATGCGTCCATCTGGACTGCGAAACCTTTTGATATAATGAAAGAAATAAATGCCAAATGCTGTTTTCTAATAAAATCAAATTTATATCAAGCACATCAAGGTCAGCTCAGTAGAGCTGTTTAGATCCTACGGCGCCACGGGTTGCTTCTACAGTTAAAGGGATAGTTCACGTTCAGTTGCTGGTCCCCATTGACTTGCATAGTGTTTTTTTTTTTTTCCATACTATGATAGTCAATGGGGACCAGCAACTGAAGGTGAACTATCCCTTTAACTGTTGCTACGTTCAGACGTGCGGTCGTGCGTGCAGTGAAGAGAGCAGAAAGCGGCGCACAGACAGATGAAACTTTCATTGAGTGAAAAACAATGGCATTCTCAAAAATTAGGAAAGTTGAGGGGTTAAATTTAGTTGATTCAAATTTAAGGCCATAAAAAGTCTTAAATGGTACAAGAAACTTAATTATGATTTCAGAAGGTCTTAAGTTTCGGGACGGAAAAACAAGAATTGCAATATGGCTTAATGTGATGATTAAACTTCAAAAGGCTGTGATTTCATTAAATAAATATGAGCACTGTGATTTCATTAAATAAATATGAGGACTGCACGTTTCAAAGTCAGGTGCTGCGCTGCTTTGTGTACTGCCATTACCGGGAGATGGTCCTCACTGTAGAACACAAGATCCAGGGGGTGTGGTTGGATCCAGATCCAACTCCTCCCACCTTACATATACCTAAACCTACCCATCTCCACCCCCTGATCCCTAAACCCACCCATCTCCACCCCTAAACCTACTAGTCTCCACCCCCTAGATGTGGATCCAACCACGCCCCCTGGATCTTGTGTTCTGGAGTGAGGGGCTACTGATTACCGGGGAAACCGCTTGATTTCTGCCGTTCCGAAAGCGCCACCTGCTGGCAGAGAATGAATGGGCATTTTAAATAAGCCAGTCTGCTGTTTTTGTTCAGAACCGATGTGAAAATAGACCCATGTTCTTACTCGGCAAACAGCAGAGTTGTAAATGTAAACTGATGAATCGACAAGAAGATAATTCATTATAAAAATGTAAACAATTAAGACAATAAAATATATGTATATGTTCTTTAATTAATATAGTAATTGATTGATAATAGTTGTTTAAATTAATATAATAATTGATAGTTTCGACTCCATTTTCTTTATATAAAAAAAAACGGTTTAAATGTTAATTTTTTTTTTGTGTGAAATTGCTCACAAATCTGAACTGTAAATCATGCTTTTTACAGTCATTTTAATTTTATTTGTGCAGGTCTTAAAAAAGTCTTAAATTTGACCTTAAATATCCTGCAGATACACTGGTCTGACAAAAAACGTTAATTCATGTTTTTAGGTATATAACTGTCCGGACCTCGGCTGGTGAGGAGGGTTCATTACTGGACCTCAAGCAATTTTAGTTGAAGACCCCAGGGGCCAGTTGCATAAACATAGACACTATGTTAAGACTGTGTCTTAAGAACTAGTTTGACCAACTAGCAGTTAGCCAAGAGATAAAATTGGGCCAATCTACATTTTTGTTACTGACTTTAAACAGTTATGACCAGTCTAGAACAAAACAAATTAGATGGCTAACTTTTTAAGACTAGTCTAAGCAATTTATGCAACCGGCTACTGGTCTAGAATGTGATTGTCATATCCTGTAGCAGTAAGGGTCTAGGAGTTTTGTTTTAAATAAATAATGGTTTTCATTTTATAAATAGATTAAAAAAATTATTTGATTCAATTGTACAGCGGAAGTTTTAAATGTAATTTTAGGTGGTCTTGAATTTGGGGATAGAGACGCAGTAATTGTTGAGAAGCGGCTCCTTGTAAATATTAAAAGTAGAAATGTGGTGCTTTTGCACGTTCTAAATGCTTGCGGTTTCAAGGCAATTCAAAAAAAAAACAGGAAGGGGGCAAAAACCTTTTCACGGCACTGTATAACGAGTGATTGCTTAGTCATGTACTGTTAATGAATTATGAAAATGTTTACTTTATGGTGTTTACATTGTAATGGGTGGTGATGTTGTAAAAGTGCATATTTTATCTCCCTCATCTTTTTGAAAGACCAGCTAGAAGTAATAAAACATACACATTTCAAAATAAGAGTCCTGATGTATTTTGGGCCTGGTTATAATTTAAAGGGTTTCACAATAAACTACTGTATCTTGCATTTAGTTCCAGCCTGACTATTTATGTATTTTTCTGTTTCAGGTAGTGCAGTATATAACTTGTATGCAGTGTCCAATCACTCAGGCACAACTATGGGAGGCCACTACACAGCGTACTGTTGCAATCCTGAAAATGGGGAATGGTACACGTATAACGACTCTAGGTACTTGCTTTACTTCCCCTCCTGCTCTTTCTTTCCTTTTGCATGACTGTGTAGAGAGTACCAGTAGATTTCCCAAAGGTATATAGCGTACATTCGCTTTCAGGGAAGTGATCCTGACAGTTAACATGTCAGCAGAGCTCCATTCCACCTGCTAGCTGCTGTGATTTTCCTGTATCCCATCCTCCACCTCCTACCTCATTCATGCTCCTTCACCTCCCTCCCACCCACGCTTCCTTAAAAATGCTTTCTGTCTCACATCTTCAACGCTGCTAATCTCACACACACATTCTTCTTTATACTATATTGGCTGAACAATTTGATGATATTTCACCATTTTAATTGTTATATTAATGTAATACTATTTATTACAAATTATATTAAAAGTATCAAAATTTGAGTTTGTTGAATAGAAAATTAGCAGAATTTCTTAGTATTCTCCAGCATGATTTGAGAATGATCAAAAGAGCATCTTGAGCTTCATGAACACCTGACCATCTGCCCCTAGAAATGCAGAATTCTTAATTTTTTCTTATTCATTCTTTTTTTATCATGTTACATTTTTTTAAATGTTAAAACTATATTTTCAGTTAGATTTTTAATCCCAGATTTGATTGTCAACAAATTATGAGTGTGGATTTCTTCTTCCAGAGTCACGCCAATGTCCGCCAGCCAAGTTCGCAGTAGTGACGCCTATGTGTTGTTCTACGAGCGGGCGGGACTCTGAAGACGGACTGTGGACAGAGATAAAGTGCAGGACTCGAAGCCTTTGGGCTGAAGACACATTACACACTATGCTGCTTCCTCTGAGCCGTAATGCAGGATGAACATCGCTCTCTGCTGGCCACCGGGAGAAGCGCACACAATGCCCTCTCACACTCCACTGTGTTAAAGAGGTCCTCGGAGATGGTCCTCACTGCAGAACACAAGATCCAGGGGGCGTGGTTGGATCATCCCAATGCGCCTTCCTCTTGATCAAGAACGCCTCAATATTAAAAACTTTTTCACTTGATTTTTGTTTTGGATCTAACCACGCCCCCTGGATCTTGTGTTCTGCAGTGAGGGGATACTGGGTCCTCGTGCCTCTGTGTGTACGTGTGTGTGTCAGGGCAGCTCGTCATCAGGCACTAACCCAAGTGGCTCCGTCTCAGATGTCTCTCTATGCACTGCAACCAAACTCTCATCCCAATGCGCCTTCCTCTTGATCAAGAACGCCTCAATATTAAAAACTTTTTCACTTGATTTTTGTTTTGGATCTTCATGATTTTTTAAGTACATGTCCTTCCAGATATCCTGGGAGATGAACCGGTTTGAGGTGCCCCCTAGCAGGCTGTTGAGGAGTTAAAGAAAGTGCACTGTTCAGGCCTGTTACAGTACACCTTGTTCTTTTCATTACCTCTTCCACCATCTTTCGTCCCATTCACCCCCACCCATCATCTTTTCTGTGTATGCTTTGTTCTCACCTCCACTTTCTTCTCAACTTCCTGAGGGAGTCACGGGAGTATGTTGTGAAAGTCTGGTGGTGAGAGAACGGTGTGTGGCACGACTTTTATTCAGTTTGGCTGCTACTGATCTTTGAAATGCTGTGAATGGAATAAGAGGATGGGAGGAGAGATGATGCTGACAGTATATGGATCCTTGATTTCATGCCATTGAACAATATGGAAAGAATGTTTTGCAAAAGAAAATCTGTATATTTTTATATATGATGCAATATAAAGAATGTACTATATACAGTGGTGCTGAAAATGACCCATTACTGTTGTCAGTTAATTTAACAGAGGTAAGAGAACGGCATCTATTTATGCTTACAGGTCAGGAGACAATGTGATACGAGTCACACAGTGACAGTCAAAGTAAAAATATATATGTATAAATACATTTTAGAAGAATGAACGGTTACAATCCTCTCATGAGATTGTGTTTTGTCTTTGCTTTTCAATTCATATGACCAGCGGCATATGAAAGAAAAGATTACAAAATAGGGCTTGAAAAATGTTTATTTGCTATTAAATATTATATGAAAACTGTTTTGTTTGCCATTTTTATAACCCTGTTACCAAAACTTAGGACACCCTGTATTTTATATATATATATATATATATTTATTTATATAATGGGTAACAGGGTTGTGAATTCAGCCTTGTATTTACGGTTAAATATACATCTCTTATAATTAAATTTTTTGTTTTGATAATTTATTTTTGAAATAATTTGGGTAATGGCTTGGAATGGTTGCAGACAAATACAGTCCACGCTTCAGTTTATGTGAATACCAGTGTTTTAATATTATATATACATTTATGGTATATTAATATTCAGAATGATCTTTATTGTTTTTAGTTTTCATTAAAATTTTTAAGTTTTAGTCATTTTAATTTGTGCTTTTCATTTGTATTAAATTTTGTTTTATTAATATTAATTTCAGGTTTAGTTTTAATAAGTTTAGTACTAATTTTAGTAACTTTTAGTTTATTTTCTTTTATTATTTTGTTAAGTTTTCCCATCTAATTTGTATATTTTATTTCAGCTTTATTTCAATTTTAAAAAAATATTTTAGATTTCCTCAGCAACCAGCAAGGATCAGCTCCAGGCATGACGAAGCAATATCGTTCTCTTTTGAAAGACCAAACAAAGTAGTTTCGCTTTCACAATGAAGCACACAGCGTCTTTACGACATGGCGGCGGAAACAACAAAACTACAGCGAGAATAAAAGTTACGCCTTCTTTCTTTGCGTGAACATTTGGGCAGCGTTATGCAAATCTTCCCACATAGTGAGGTAGATATGTGGGGGCGTGTTAGAACGAGCCGTTTTAGGTAGGCGTGGTTAACTCTTAACTTTTATAAAGAATATCTCTTTGGATTTTAGACTTTAGTCTTTGCAACTTTACAGATCTTCTTTATGCACCAAGAGCTTGTAACACTCCAAAGAGAAAGGAAAAATTTAAATCGCATCATATGACCCCTTTAAAAATAACAAGACTGGTAAAAAAGGGAATTACGTTATTTACTTGTCTTCTGTCCATGTTGTAATATCCAAGTAACTTTACTTTCAAAGTCAGAATTTTATGAAAATCATGCAGTAATGTGTTGTGCACAAAATGTGAGGCACAGCTAAATATAGTTTCTAGTAATAGAAATCTTCATATTTCTTCTACAATGATTTGAACGTCATTTGAACAGATTAAAGTCAAAATTATGACACTGCTGTAATTGTTGAATACAGTCAATAAGGTCGAGACCTCTGAGGTGGTGCAGACCAAAATCAATATTTTTAAGGTATGTGAGAGAAATCTATTAACTTACCATGCTAAGTTACTTTTATATTAGATAAAAGCTTATACAACTTATCTAATAACTGTACCTCTAAAGAACACAATTTGTGCCTTTATTGCTTTACAAAAAAAGTGATGGGACCCAAGTTTGTACCCCATCTGTGGAAGTTACCACACAGCCTTCTGAATCCTTATAGGCTATAATATTTCTATAACTAAACTGACCTGACTGACACTTCCCTGTCATAACATGTACGTCACACTCTAAATGACTTAATACAGAACTGAGAAGTGAACTTTGAAACTTTGAAAACACTGCGTGTTAAATGGAATTAAGTTCTCAAAACAAACAGGTAAGCGGATATATGTGACAAAGTAAAGAGTGGCTTACTGGGGTGAAGGACTGAAGAATGGCAGTGAGCACTGAGACAGCATATGGTAAGTTGATGGACACAAGATATATTTGAACTCGATCAGTGTGTTATATGACTTGACAAGGTAGGTGTGGTTAAAAAATAAAGCCTTAAGACAGAAACAGGAAATTATGCTACTTTCATTAATATTAATTTGATCTGCTTATTGTGAGCATCTGAATGTACCTTACCTTTGATTTGACTTTTCTGTCTTCTAGTCGATCCAGAGGGTGGTTCTCTGATGGGACTTGTGTTGCTGGGTCGAAGACATGCTGGTAAGAGCTCAGTGGGAGACCTCATCCTCGGACGCAGTGAGTTTGAGCCCGGGAAGAAGACAACTCGGTGTGTGAGGAGATTCGGCTGGGTGGACGGCGTGAGGCTTGCTGTAGTGGACACTCCGGGCTGGAGTCTCTTCGGTTTGGCTGACGCCAGACTGGTGAAACAGGAGATCCTGCGCAGTGTGATATTGGCCCCTCCTGGATATCACATATTTCTCCTTGTTGTCCCAGTGGACTCTTTCAGCAAGCGGGACGGACGTGCTATGGAGAAATATCTGGGTGTTCTTGGGGACATGGTGTGGTCACACACTCTGGTGCTCTTCACGTGGGGTGATGAGTTAAGAGGCAGGAGTATTGAAACGCACATTCAAGTGAACCTTTGCAGGAGATCCTGAGGAAGTGTGGCCACAGGTACCATGTTGTGAACAATAAATGTCCAGAAGACTTTACTCAGGTCACTGAGCTGCTTAACAGTTTAAAGCAAATGTGTGCCAGGACTGGTTGAACATAGAGAATGAACCTAGTGAAAGTGTTCAGCAACAGAGGACAAAAACTGCGCCTTTAAAGCAACTGTATGTAGGGTTTTTTTAACCTTGAAATATCAGTTTCAAATTGGGAAGCTAAGGACTGAACGTCCAGCTTGTAAAACCTGGCGAAGGTATTCTAAGAAGATCAGCCAGCTGCAAGGCACTGCCTTGAAGCAATGATTGACGGAGGGGGGGCGTGGTCAGCTCGGAATGCATTTTCAAATTGAATTTTGCTACAAATATTCCACGGCGTCATTATGAAAATGCAATCCTAAGTGTTCTAACTGTTAGTCTAAATGTTGAATTTTGCTACAAATATCCCACGGCGTCATGATGAAAATGCAATCCTAAGTGTTCTAACTGTTAGTCTAAATGCATTTAGGACAAATAGCATTTAAATGATAATTTTGCTACCATTTCTGCTTGAACATGTTACACATATCAAATCAATTTGTGTTATACATTTTCATTTAGCAACTTATAAAGGGTTCAAATGTGCATGCAATTTACATATTAAGACTACTGTTGGAAATGGCAAATGTAAATTATATAATTTAATTTTCATTTTCCTTTTGCAACAAACTTTGCATGTATGGGTAATGGAAAATGTAAATTTAAATACATTGCCATTTTGAATATTGCATTTTAAATTGAATTTCGCTACCTATATGCTTCCATAATAACGTGCTGCCTTCACAGTTACCATGCATTCACACTGCTGCCATCGCGATCGTCAAATTGCCCGGAAGTCATTCATTTTCAATGTGAGCTGGCGTCAAGCAGCGGCGCGGCACGTCTTGGACATTGAGGGCGTCGAGGAGAGTTGAAATCAGGTCAACTTTATGGTCATGATCTATGACACGGTTCGGCGGCAACCAATCGGAACGTAGAAGTCCAACGTTTAATTCAGATGCGAAAATAATTAATATCTATAGTGCATGAGCACAGAGATTTGAGAGTGCACAGGACACAGTTTGAGTGAGAGGAGAGATACGTTTTAAGTGCGTGCACTCTCTCCGGGCAAGAGCAGCGTGTATCTGAGCGCGCGCGTCCGGTTTTGTGCGAGAGCGGAGAGATTCGCGCTCGCGCATTATATTAATGCTTTCGCGCTACAATAATGCGCTCTGACATTTGTCATTAAAATAACGCCATATCTCTCAAGACTCGTTCGCTCCGCCAGAGTCTCGCAGGGATCATTTTCATACCAGGGACGCTAAACATTCTTGCAAACTGTCTAAACTGAATTATACATGTCATGCAGGCATTCATATGAGGAGTTTAACAGCAAATTAGTCATTCAAAGAACAAATTTTATTTTTGGACATGAAAATTTTACCAAGGTCCGGACCTCGGTGACCTCATAGCTGGTTACTGGCCTGTACACCATAGATATATATACATATCTATGGTCTACACTGGATGCGATGCGGCGCGGCGCGACACGACAAATCCCCGATAGAAAACTGCTGCTGCGTTCTATTAATGACATATTGACACAAATTTCAAATGATTTTCAACGGTCGCTTTGTCGCATCCAGTGTACTAGACAGACTTTAGTTGTTGCGGCGCAGACACAGTGTTACTCACCTATCGGGAAGCAGAGACGAATGAAGTGGGGGCCCCAGGCAAAATTAATAGATGGGGCCCTTCAAAAATATTATTTTGTTAATATATCTTCGTTACCTAGATATATATTTATACAATATACAAAAAGTAGTTAAACACATAATAGAACATAAACTGTTTATTTTTTTAAAACAAAGTGCTTATTCTTAAACAAAATATCAATCTTCAACTTTATGACAGAAGATACAACTGACAGCCTCTCTTAGTTCATTGTTGACCTGAGGTATGTTTTTATCAGCTTTACTAGTTTTATTAGTTGACAACTAATTATGTTAACTCAACTAATTTAATATAGAAGAGCTAAATAAATAGTCAACTAAGTAAATGTAATATTTATTTATATTGATTTAAACGTAATGATATTTATTTATATTGATTTGTGGGCTCCACACTGGCAGCAAGACACAGTACCCAGGGATGCAAACTAATCATGGGTGACAAAGACGAGAAACCCCCAAAATAAAACCCTACATTTTTTAAACACTTATAATAATTTAAAGCCTTTATTATTATATTTTTTTTTTACTCTGCCAAAAAAAAAAGCACTTTAAATGTTCACTTTCAGTCATGAAGAAGACGGGGAAAAAATTGTCTCCTGTGGAAAACAAAGACTTAAAATGAAAATGACATAAATTACCATTATATCCAGTAGATGGCAGCAGAGGATCCCTCATTAGCTCAGTTGCCATTTCAACTCCCTAGTTTTTTTTCACGTCTTGCTTTTGGATTTATTATAAAATGGCTATGAAGTATAGCAAGTGCAGGAAGTCACAAAGTCTCATGTAATTTAAAAATAAATAAATAAATAGGCCCAGACACCAACAGCCTAGTATGGTAAATTATTTAAATACTTAACTAGTTAACTACAAATTAAGTTAATTATTAATGGTATAATAATTGAATAATGCATTAAATATTTTGGCTTTTTTTTTTAGATTTAATTTAAAAATAAAAATTTTCAAACATTGCCAAAAAAGGACACATCAAAGGTGAGCTTTAAGTTATCTTGACTTGTAGAAGCTGCTAAAGGCAACACAGACTTGTTGCTGCTGTAGTTTTGTTACTCTGATTTTACTCTGCATCACTTAAAGCAAAGCTCTGTTGTTTTGACATCGGCTTGTCAGATAGTTTGTTCCGTCCATTGCTACAGGGATCACCGTCAATCACGGATCAATTTGGCGGATTCACTCGCGTAATTTTTTACACTCGCGTTTGTCATTCCTGAAACAGTATACGTGGACCGTTTGGTCCTCTTAAACTTTTCTTCAGACTGTGAATGTAGTATGTAAGAATGTAGTATTTAATACCTGCTAAACACTACATAATATGCTGCTGCTAAGTGCAATCCTAGCTAACCTGTTTCCCAGTAACCCTATAGAGAATGGGAATCTACGTCACGCCGCATTGGATTCCGCCATGTTTTAGGTCAAGCTCTGGAGCACACAGTGTAAACAGGCAAATCACCACAGAAAAAGCCGACCGTTTACTATTAACCTTTTTTTTTAACCATCTTACATACTCTTAAGAATAAAACGGACTAATATCATATGTAAATCTCAATAAAATCGCTCTGTGGTTTGTCTGAGAGGCTGCAAATATTCATTATTCAGTCTCTTTCACTACAGTGATATCGGTCTTTGTCAGTCACGTGCGTTTATTATGTGTGACGTCACCGAGGCGCCATTTTGAAGGTATCGCATTGAGCAGTGAACTAAGTGTACAGAGCCGTGCAGTAAAGAGAAACAGATGAAAACCAAGTAGATACGGTA